TTTTTCGCTTATGTAGGTTCTAGCTGCCACACAAACGCCAGGAGAAGCGGGGAAAAGGTGGTTTCAAGGCACTGCTGATGCAGTAAGGCAAAATATATGGGTGCTTGAGGTGTGTAATGCCGTTATGCATATGATTCTTTTTGGCGTTAACATTATGCTTGTTTACAAGGAAATATTTTCCTCGTAAATGTTTTCAGACTTTCCAGCTTTCCAGGAAAACTTTTTCTAAGAAAGTCAAATACTTTCCTGTGTATTGTGGGTCAGACATTATTCTATAAATAGAAGTATAGAACATATTTTTCAGGAAAACATGATCCTCCAGGGTTCGCTTAGAATGCATAAAATGATAGGGAAAGAAAATAGAGAGGAACTGTAGGAGAAATATGGAAGAAAATGCTGAGAAAAATAAGATTGGCTCAAAGTGAATGAATTTATTTGCAATTTTGTTCAAATTCATTTTTATTATGTAAATACGCAGCAATCTATACATATGTAATTTTTGAATATTAATTAATAATCATTTTTCCTTTTTCATTTTCTACATTAAATTCAAACATAAGAAAGTAAATTTCATACCATTCTTTCTTTTCGTGAGCACTTTTCGAGATCCAAAAATATCCCTAAATTTTCTTCAATAAGCTATTTTCCTTGAAACAGCTGGAGCCTAAGAGAGGTACGAGAAGATAATTGAGTTTCTTGTCTTTTAATTGTTCAGGATTCTAGGAACAAGAGCGTGGAGCATATATTAATTTTGTCCGGTGATCATCTTTACCGGATGGACTATATGGACTTTGTTCGGGTATGGCTTCACTATTTCATGACAAACTGCATTTACTCTTCCTGTATTTTCCATGTATTTTGAGACTAGCGCTTCTTGATTATGGGACTTGTACATGTAGAAACATGTTGAAACTGGTGCTGATATCACGGTTTCTTGTGTGCCCATGGATGACAGGTTTGTGGTCGAATTTTGTCTGGAAGTTTATATTTTTGTTCCATTCCACTTATTGAAGATATTTAGACCAAGTATAATTCTCTTATGGAATAAGGTTTGGATGTTTTTGTTGTTGAGTTTATTTATAACATCTTGTTTATCAATCTCTTTTTCGTTCTTTTATGCAGCCGTGCTTCAGATTATGGGTTGATGAAAATTGATGCAAACGGGCGTATTGTACAATTCGCTGAGAAACTTAAAGGGCCTGCTGTCAAAACAATGGTACATAAGTACATAACCTAGTGCTAAGCAACATCTTTTTGTAATAAATTCTAAACCTCGCATTTTCTTCCAAATGCCCAATTTGACCTTGTGAATTTTAACAATAACCTTGATACCCTGAAAAGGCCAAATTGGCTCAATGACTCATTGACCTGTTACATAAAGAAATTTGTAAGCAATTTCATCTACAAGTAAACAAATTAAATCCAAACAGTTAGCTCAAATCGTATTTAAACCTGCGTTTATGCTGATTTTTTGTTTTTGCAACTTGTTAGTTGCAACCGGGTATGTCTATTTTTTTTTTCAAGTGCATTCATAAGACTTTTCTGAAAGTCAAGGTCATTACTGAGTAAAAGAATTTGGTTTTGGTCTGGTCACTTGTTGGCCATTCTCATTTTTTATCCACTTTTGGTCCGTTATGGCCACTTCTCCGGCGACAAGCAACCAAAGTTTGATCGAATAAGTGGCCGGTAAAAGCATAAGTGACAAAAGAAATTGAAGTGTTGGATCACAAGTGGAAAACCGAAAGTTCGGGACCAAAATTGGGATAACCTAATACATGTGCGACCAAAAGTGTATTATTTTCTTAGCGAGTTACTCTACTTAGTTCATGGGATAGAAGTCCATCTAATGTTCAGGTCAAACACATATTTGTTTTGTTTAAAGTTTATGGTCGTTTTGGGTTCTTAGATTTTTTTCTTTCACAAGTAGCCTCCTTAAGTCCTTAAGTATCCTAGATTCCAGTTCCATAATTTGTTTTGTATTGCAGAGAGTTGACACATCCATCCTAGGGCTTTCTGATCAAGAGGCTAAGAAATACCCTTATATTGCGTCCATGGGTGTATATGTTTTTAGAACCCAGGTTCTATTAGATCTTCTAACGTCACAACACCCTTCATGCAATGATTTTGGCTCAGAAATCATCCCTGCTGCAGTCAAGGACCGTAATGTCCAAGTAAGTGTCACATATCACGATATACAGTTGCCCACAATACTTTTGACTGTTTTGTCCAACTTATTCATTATGCTTTTGTTTATCAGGCATATTTGTTTAGTGATTACTGGGAGGACATTGGGACAGTTAAGTCTTTCTTTGATGCGAACTTAGCCCTTACAGAGCAGGTTTTTCCCTATTATCTCTATAACTATATGGAACATATTGAGTTAAAAGTTATAGTATAGATTACAACATTTGAATTTTCACTGAAAGTTTACTATTTAGACTTGAGGATATTGGGTTGTTGTTGTTAAACCCGGTCGGATCCTTTATGAAATGGGTGGACTAACAAAATTTTTTGCCCGAAAAGCTATTTCAATAGCAGCATCGAAATGCTGACAAACTCAATTCATTATTTCGGAGATAGAATAGAAGATATCACTCTTGTGAATCTTTTATATTGGTCTGTTATATCATATTCAGCTCAAGTGAGACAAACTCTTCAGTTTTTACTCTTGATTACGTGTAGATATTTATGAGTTCATAATCTTTTGCAGTCTCCTGTGTTTGACTTCAATGACCCAAAGTCTCCTTTCTACACCTCACCAAGATTCTTACCTCCTACTAAGGCTGACAAATGCAAGGTATGACATCGCCTCTTACCTAGGACTTCCATGACAGGGCATACCTATTACCTAACATAAAGCCCCTACATTGTACGAAGAATGGGTATAAATTACAATAAAATAGTAAACTATCATATATTAATGTTGCAATAGTCATGTTTGAGTATGTATCTGTGTAAGTAGAAGTCAGCTAGTCAGACCTATCAGGCCGAACCAACCACTGCTATTAACTAATTTCTTTTCTTTGGGGGTTCAGATGGTGGATGCTATAATCTCACATGGTTGCTTCTTGGGGGAGTGTACTCTTAAACACTCCATAGTCGGTGTACGGTCACGATTAGATAATGGCGTGGAACTTGAGGTACCCTTCCATATCAGTTTCATTTTCTTTCTTGTTAAGTTTTCATGATGCTCTTAATCACTATTGTGTGTCCAGCGTCCTAATAATTTGGCATGTGAAATAAGATGGTTTTTAGAGGTCACTTTTCATTGTTTGTGTATAGATAAGCTACAACTGGACATTTTATTCCTGCTTTATGGGGATTAAGTGGGTAAATGTTTCAGGATACAATGATGATGGGTTCAGACTACTATCAGACAGAGGCAGAGATTGCTTCTCTATTAGCTGACGGGAAGGTTCCTATTGGGATTGGCGCAAACACCAAAATTAGGTAGGTGAATCCACATGGTCATAATAATTACCACTCATGATGCATCAAGAATTCATTATTAGATTTACCCTAATTCTAGGGTAAAGCTAATGTTCTAAAATTCGCAGTTCAAGTGACTGGTTTGAGCCTAGCACCTTGACGGGGATTTTAAGAACTGGGAATAAAATTACATTCAAAATTGTGCAATAGTTTGACTTTCACATTTGGTCACACACATTGACAATCTATAAATTTAAATGCAAGCACCCAGGAATTTTATATGAGAGAAATTAAAACGTCTTATCTAATATGATTTGTTTTTATGCAGTAGTCAGACTAAGGTGTGTGAATAATGTAAAAGTCAAAATGTCGGGATTTATAAAGGAGAAGTACTTCCTAACATTATTGTCAAGGTTTTAAGGCTGAGACTCATATACTTATGCACTTATGTGGTCGACTATTAAATTGGATCTAACTCTCTCCAAGCGAGCTGCCCAAATTATTGGATGGCAAACAAACAAGCCACAATGGGACTATACTTTGATACCATATCTAAACTCAGTGCTAATCATATTTTAGGTCCATTTTTTTTACAAGAGATAATGATTGTTTATCCATACTTTTGCTTCTCCAATTCACATGTAAAGTGATGTGACATCATAACTCTGAGACTTGCGATGAGTGTAGTTGAAAAACTGTCCGATTTATTCGTTGAAAATGCGACGATTTAATGATAGTTTACTAAGTGTTGTTTCACGTTTCGTGACCAGAAATTGCATCATTGACAAGAATGCCAAAATAGGAAAAGACGTGGTTATTGCAAACAAGGATGTAAGTATATTCATCCGCTGCTATTATTTAGTTTAGGTTCTGTGCGGTGAATCTGCTTATCATCAGAATAATTGAACTGAATATGATTAATTTCTGACTTATTTAGCTGAAATGAATGTTACCATCCATTGGTAGCTAAATAACCCTTACCAAACTATCCAATGACTTGCCCAAACATATTTGTAATCCTCTTGCTAAACTCAAAACCGGCTATTGCACATTGCAGGGAGTTGATGAAGCAGACAGGGCAGATGAAGGTTTTTACATTAGGTCCGGGATCACGATCATTCTGAAGAACGCAACTATCAAGGACGGGACCATCATTTAAGAAAGCCTCACCTAAAAAGTTCATTTTTCCTTCTCAAACTATTCTCAGACTGTGTCATTAGGACTTAGGAGTTAGGGGATGATATATAAATAAATAGATGTGTAGTCCAACTATCGATATAAGTTAATCTTTTAGTTGAGACAGAACACATCCTTCAGTTCAGTTCAATACTCAAATCATAGACATGTTTGTATATATTTCATAAACAAAGCGATAGACCCACAATTATTTGTTTCTTTAATAATCTGTGTGTGAATTTATTGTGTTAGTTTCTTTTTCATTTTCTTCCATTGCCAACAGGATTGCTACTGTCATGGTTTTCTCTTGCAAGCCCACTCATATTTTCCTTCTTCCACTCCATGTTTTTAAGCCCGGCAGGCATCTTATGCAGTTTGCTCAGCTTGGATGACTGATGATTGATGATGTCAGCTGTTGTGGGACTCTCGCTGAAGACGATTGCATAACCATCCTGGTAACTTTCCATTCCTTCTGGAAACAGCTGCCAGAACAAGCTACCAGCCGCTGCACCCCCGCCTTTAGCGGAAGAGTAAATGTCTGAGTAAACGGTGTTCATCAGCTTGTCCCGCTTTGCAACGGTGAACCCGGGATCTGTCTTGCTCTTTCCAAACTCTGATAAGATCATAGGCTTCTTAAGAATGTTTTGCGCGTCCTCAATGTGGATTGCAATCCACTTTCTCAGAAATGAGAGTTGATCTTCATCACTCGTTCCATTCAACCTCCATACACACCACATATAAAGTTCAAAATGAGTGAGAATTAGATCAATTCTATAAATTTACAAAAATACAAATCTCATATCTCAGACAAGAACTGGTCTAAATTGGTGCAGGATTCTCCAAAATAGGACATGAACCATTCATTTTTTCTAACAGGAACCGATACCAAGCTGGGAGTAGAACAGAATTGGGATACCAAGCTGGGAGTAGAACAGAATTGGGTTATTCAAGCGATTTGCGGTTTTGTTATTACATTTAAGTCGAATGTCAGCCCGAAACTGGCCGATCCAGATTTAAATCGGATTGGAATGTGCTCGGGTCCGAACCAGAGATCTTTATACTAAAAATATGTGAAAGTGAACTTACATACCACACATCGGCATAAGCGTGAGCAGTGGTGAAATCGATCTCGGGAATTTGATTATTGCCAATGAAATCAGTCCCAAATTGAGAGCCGCTAGTCACTCCCTGGTTTTTTTCAGCATTTGATGGCCCATAAAAGCCTTCCAGTCCAACTTGTAGCAGATGCTTATTGTCGATGGATTTCACATAGGCAGCCATTTCTTTGATCCAATTCTGGTAAAACAAACATAGGAAGTTCATGCATTGGGTCTTTTGGTGGGAAAAGTTCTTTTTTTCTGCTAATCAATTCTAAATTATATAGTTTTGTTTTAAGAGTTAATTTGATTCTAAAGTGCAATCTTACTACTCTTCTCTCCTCTAAAAAATTTCCTATTTTTAATAGGTAATTCATGGTATACACATAATTTGTACACAAATTGTACATTGCCTGTGGACATTTTAGGCAACTAATGGGGTTGTGTACAATTTGTGTATTAAGTTTGTGTACAACAAGAATTTTTATTTTTAATGACACATATATTAATAAAATATTAAAATATTGAGTTTTTCTTTGACTTCCTAAAATGCACCTCTTAGTAATGGTGATCATTCACTTGAAATACACTCTGTTAACGTTTCACTATTACTTTGACGCTAGTCTTATAACAAATAGAATCTTTTTATCAAATAAAAATGACTATTAATTAGGAATACACTAGTACAAAAACTGTCTATTGTAGCATCTAGCACCATATAAATTGCTACAATATAATATCTATTGTAACATATTTTACAAAAATGCTACAATAAAATGATAGATGGTTACAATGCATTTATTGTAACACGAGTTGAATGCAACATTTTGGCAACTGTTGCAACATTTTGCATATGCTACAAAAGTTATACTTTATTGTTGTGACGGTTAAAAAAGGAATGCCTGAAATTAGTAAGGGATTGAGTAAATATATCAACATAGATGATGACTTTACGTTTACATTGTTGCATTAGAGGCTTAATATTTTCATTTTAGGTTAAATACAACACTTTCCACCTGAGTTTCAAAACATTTTTCTACTATAAGTACTAGAGAAAATTGTCCAAGATAGGATTAAAACTCAACCTTTTTCTCAAAATAGGACCACATGCATGCAGAGCCGTCTAGAGCAATTAGGAGGCCCTAGACACTTTTATAATTTTTTTTGTTCAAATACATTTTTTTCAATATAATAATATAAAAATAGAATATCAATTAAATTGAAGTAAATTACATATGAAATGCATCATATACTATTAACATAATGAGAATATTCTTTCTCAAAGAGCAGGTAAGCGATTTTGTGATCAAAAATTCATTCTTAATTTGTTCTTTCACTTTGTACATTTTGAATCATGTTTTCGTTTTCGTTTCATCATATCACAAAATCTATAATATAATTGAAAATAGTACTAAATACGTTGATGGTTCATAAATACAAAATTCAAACCACAAATTTTGATCACATATAAAAGTGTATAAATATTCAGAGCCCGTTTGGTCACTTTGTTTTCAACTTATCAGTCAATTTTTTCACCAAACACGTAACTTTTGATTTTGTGTGTTGATTTATGTAATAGGGAGTAATTGAAATAAATAAGGTAGAAGTTAATTTTCTTATTGGGTTGTTGACTGAAGTTAATTACTATATGAAGCACTTAGCTATTTCTTCATATCACTTTATTTATTTTATTAACAAAATATATTTTACATATAATTTTTTTCATAATTCAGCAAAATCAGTCAATGCAATCACTTCAGCCAATATTTTCTAAATTTTAGTAAAATCAGTCGATTCAAACTATTTCAGTATCGGATATCAATACTAAAATACTTATAATATGCGTTATATACCCAACGCCCTACTGACCTAATGGTACCTAACAATTAAAAGAAAAAACTCCATAGCAAAAGATGTACGTAGTAAATAATGAAATACTCCATAGCAAACAAGTAATCTGAAAATCCTTCAAATCAACCACATCAATTAGTAAAATAAGTAAAAGTCATAAAAAAAAAGTCATAAAGCATGTGGTGGCCTGCGGTGGTCTGTTGAGCTGTTGTGCCGAAGTGGATAAGAGAGCAAGTCATTTACTCGTCCACAATGTGTACGGAGCACAGATTTTCTAAATTAAAGTATACATATATAATATTAATGGGTTAATTTAAAAATTGGAGGCCCCTAATGTTTGGAGGCCCTAGACAAGTGTCTAGGCACCCTCCCCCTATAGCCGGCCCTGCATACATGTTTTTCTCTAAATAGAACTAACCTTACCTTTTTTACCCCTAATTCCATTTAATTAATTAATTAATTAATCTAAATAATTGCCCCCCTAGTTTCCTTGCACAACCAAGGCAGTCCGTCGGTGGCGGGGCAGTCCGTGGTGGCGGCAGCACTCCGGCAGCGGCCGGCGGCGGATTCCGGCGGCGGCGGCAACTCCGGCAATTAATTAACCCAATTAATTGCCCCCCCCTAGTTCTCTTGCACAACCAAGGCAGTCCGTTAGTAGCAGGGCAGTCCGGAGGTGGCGGCAGGTTGGTGGCAGTGGAAGAGGCGGTTTCCGGCGGCGGCGGCGGCCGGCGGCAGGTGGCGGCAGAATGTTGGCAAACCTCCAGAAAAAAAATCTGGAATTTTTCCGGCGGCGGTCGCCGGAGCTCCGGCGGCGGCGGCAGGCGGCGGCAGCGGTAGGCGGCAGGCGGCGGTCCGGCAGTCCCTGGGCAGTAGTGGTAAAGGTTGTGAGGGGTATTTTGGTCCAATCACTAATAAAAAGTCTTATTTAAGGATGTTTAAACTAGGTACTCCTATTTTGAGAAAAAAGCCATGTTTTGATCCTATTAAGGTAAATCTCCCTAAGTACTATTCAGATGGCTTTCCTGGGGATTTTTTTGGCATAATCCTAACCTAATTGTAGATCTCAAGCTTAATTCCTTAAATAAATAAATAAATAAAACTCCCTCATTCAAGTTTTAATGTTTTCACTTTTCACAAGTGACTTTTATGATCAAAGATGTTAACTTTGACCAATGTCGTACATGTTTCAATTAAACACATCGTACTTTTGTATTACCGTTTATAAAATAAAAAATGCGGCTTACATACTGAGTGTAAGATTAAGAAAACAAACTTGTAGGTTTTTTCCAGACGCATCTGAGGGACATCTGGGTTCATTCATCAGCTCCCAAGCCATTATTGTAGAATCATCCTTGTATGCAGTTCCAGTAATGGTGTTCTTCCTCGTAAGCACAGTCTGTTTAAGATACAAGTAAGTCCCGAAAGTAATTAAAGCATTGTTATTCATACCGTATATCACTACAAAAAAGCAACAATATTTGCACGGACTTAGACGACGATCTTTGGCACAAATTCGTCAAAATTCATAGATATTTTGGCACGGATATCCCAATCTGTGCCAAAATGCATGCCAATGTTGTTTGGTCACCGGCTATTTGACACGGTGATGTGCAAAAAATATCTTATGATTCGTGTCAAACTCGCAATGTCAAGTCCGTGCTGTACTAATTAAAATTTCTACATTGATCGGTCTAATATTCCGCCCCGTAGTATTTTTGTTGAGGAGAAAATTGTTCAATTCTTCAAGTTTATCTAAACAAAAGAAATAGTAACCATGACAGATTTTAACATGCATGTATATATAAGTGTATAACTTTGTGTTGATTATAAATTTGCAAAATTTAGAGTATGTAATTAATCATACACGCATGTACACATGTGATATCATTTAAATTTTGACTTGGTCCACTGTGATATACGAGTACTTTTTCCGTTCTTAAATAAGTGCAACAATCAACTTTTAACATTTGCCTAGACATAACTTTTAACATTAATATATATAATTCTCTATTAGTATAAAAAAATTCAGATTTTGAAAATTTACTATGAGACAAATTTAATAATATTTTTTTTTTTTAAAAATATTAATATATTAATAAATAAAATGTAGTCAAATAAGTAGAACATGTGAATGATGTAAAATTCAACATGTTGCACTTATTTAAGAACGGAGGTAACATACAAATAAAACCGAGAATAGATATGCTGAAATATAATACGTAGTAGTTGTTATAGTATAAAAAACACATGTGTATATTTTGAAACCTGCAATTTTATATATTACGCACGCTGATGTAGGTCCAATTTTTCGACTCCAAAATTTAATGTTGAACTTCAATTTTATTTGGAAAATTACCTTAAATAGGACTACAAACATTTGTAAATAATCTACATTATATTCCAAAATATGATTATCATGTTTTTATTCGTTAAATAAGAGTAATTACTATCATATTTTGACAGTATCAGACATTAATATATCTAAACATACATGACAATATTTTCCTAGTTTGACAATAATTATTTGCAAAAAAAATATAACAATCATATTTTAGAATAATTCTCAAACATTTTTACTCTTGTTTCAGGAATTGTCTTATTTTATTTGAGTGTGCCAATTGCCAAATCCAAAATTTTATTGTAAAAACCTTTGACTGTATAGAGCCACTGAAGAAATCGTCTTCCAAAAAAAACACAAAAAGTGTGATAATAATTATGATTAAAATAGTTATTAATTACCTTAATGTGATTCTTGTAATATTCTTTGACTACGGAATTAGTGAAGAAATCATCATCGGAAGATAGAGATTGGCCCCTCTCGTTGGCCCAAGCCACATACTGTGCCTTTCCTCCGTACTCGTTAAAGTTGTTTACCAAACTTAAGATCAGCTTTTGCCTATGATACCCAGCCATTGATATCACATTATCCAAACCCTTCAACAACAACAAACACATGCATAATCATGGAATAACGACGTACATTTTCATGTTAAGCACATCGGGATGAAAAGTAATTATACCAGAGTTAGACATTATGGAAGTGGCAAGGGCTAAATGCCTAAATATGAAAAGTAAAAAACTTACATTAAAAAATTGAAGAAGAATAAGTTCTTCTGAACTTCAGCCTACTATAACTGCAAAGTAGATTTTCCCTTGAACATATGTTAGTGAACTAAATCATAATAACTTTGTTCTAAATTAAGCAATAATATAACTAATTACTGGGTATTTTTTAGTTCCAAAAGCTTGGCTTTGCATGGATTTCAAGGCCGTCCCAATTTTTAAAAGGCTTCGTGCTAATTACGTACTAAATGATGTAGGTCTTACGGAAAAAATTAATGTAATGTTTCAACTTAGAAATAATTTTTTTGTCCCTTCGAAAACATGTGATAAGATTGGAACGATATAGAGAAATAGATTTTTCTTTGTCTTTGCTTTTATATATTATCCACTTCTTCAATTCGGTCCTAAACAGATTTGCGTATGTACTTTAATTTGTCTAAACACATTTGGTTCTACTTTTTTTTTTTTGTTTAGAATATTAATTCTTATGATATTCTAATTTATATTTTACGTCTTTCTAGAACTTTAATCAAAGTAGTTATGTAAATAGTGTAAAAGACTAAAAGTGAAAGAACTTCAATTGAAACATAACACGAATCACAAATTTGTTACTGAAACCGTAATTTTTTGACACGACTAAATAAGAGAGTTGTCAAAATTTTGCAGGAATAAGGAGTTGGATCATAAAATTAGAAATGCAATTAATTAATTAATTAAATAAACCTGAAATATGGTTTCATTGTAAACGCCAGGAGAGGACTGCAAGGCTTGATCTCCCCCATCACTGAAAGCCCAAGTTCTAGCAAGGAAGAGGTTATGGTCTGAGGCTTGTTGAAAAAGTGCAGTGACTCTGTTTCTGTGATTTATGTCAGAGGCCACAGTCATTAACCAGTAAGCATTATACCCATTTCTGTAGTATGGTTCTCCAGTTTCCAACATGAAATGGGTCCCATTGATCATCACCCACCCCTCATTCTCCGCCCTAATTACCCTCAAAATTACCAAGATCACCAGAAATATTGAGGAAAAGTCCCACTGTTTCATTTTTAATCTCTTCCTAATTGATAACAAACTGTGGGCATGAAAATGCTGTGTAGCTTGACCGATGAATTTATAGAAATGCATGCATTAATAGTGCATGCATGCATGGAGCCACAGAAGTTACACTTTCTATAAATAAGGAAAATTAATTACTGCTCCAACTATTCACTACTCTCCCTTTTTTTAATTTATTTCTATCATGAGTAATGCCGGGTTACACATACTTAATAGTTAATATAAATTAGGAATCCTTGTGTATTTTGACAACTCTGATTTAATACTCCCTCCGTCCCGTTAGAAGGTTCGCACTTTCCTTTTTTGGACGTCCCATTAGAAGTTTCCCATTTCCATTTTAGAAAACAATTAACAATCTTAATTGACAAATTAGTCATTAAATATTAAAAATATTGCATTTATAACATCACTTACAGTTATCAATACTAACACATTATAATATATACCTATTAAAATTATTTCTCAAAATATACCCAAAGTACTTTATTTAATTATCACCTAAATAACCGTGCCGTTTTGCTATGTGAACCTTCCAACGGGACAGAGGTAGTATAAATATACCTGCCATGGCTCCTATTGGAGTACCATTTTCCCATTATTTCACATGGTATCAAGAGTCTAGACCTATTTTTTCCCTCTCTCTATTTTCTTAATCTCGGACGATGACTTCGTCCACCTCCTCTTCCACAGCCATGGCTTCCGCCGCCATGAGCTCCGCAGTGATGACTCCCTCTGCCACAACCGTTATTCCTTCGGCGCCAGATTCAACACCTGCGTCAAGCACGATGTCGCAGCAAGGTGTGATTTTTACTTCTTCCGCTGCACACCTCTCTGCTGAGACCGGTTCCCCACTGCTACGGCCGTCCTCTTCTCTCCTCTTTTCCAATTTTCCACCACCACCTAATTTCTCCATGACCGAAAATCCCCCTCTTGTTTCGACGAGGTCGTCCAGTTTTCCAGGACTGCAACCTCCGCCAATAATTCAGCCGCAGCTGCAGCCGCAGATGATCTCCAGCCCCCAGGTGCCCGCTTCTTCATTCTTTGGGTCCACATTCTCCGGGTCTCCAGGCGTGGTCCACCCGGTTGATCAGCCGGGTTTTGGTTCTCTGATGTCGGCCCTTGTCCAATCTGTGTCGCATATTACCACAGTGTTTCAGATTGTCACCATTAAATTTAAGGCTGTAGAAGATTATCTCACCTGGCGCACTCAGTTCGAATCATTCTTGGTCTCTCAAGGTTTGTTTAGCATTATTGATGATTCCATTCAGGTACCCCTATGTATACCGTTGATTTTGTAAATCGTCAAGTTCCCAATTCCAAGTATTACTATTGGTTCCACATAGATCAAACAATTCGATATTGATTGTTTGCTACTTTAACTCGGGATGTGTTAGTTGATATTCATGATTTAAAACATTCTGCTACTATGCATGGAACTTAAACGATTACTATCAAACATAAAGAAGAAAAGGGGCCAACAACATGAGAAGTAAAGGGGCATAAAGATTTGATTGAATATGCTATTCTTGGTCTGGGACGTGGCTATGAGTCCCTCATCATTGCCATAAATTACTTTCCGGGGAATGCTACGTTGGAGAATTTGGGTCCACTTCTTCAGGCACTGGAGCAGCACAATGCTTTTTTGGATGCCCAGGATTCCAGCCAGGTGCATCAAGCTTTTGCTGCCGCTGCACAACCCGCACCTGCTGTCCCAGGCCACAGAGGAGGTCCTCGGGGTGCTCCGTGGGCCTGCTGGTCGCGGACAGAGAGGGGGACGAGCTCGTGGAGGCCGAGGATGGGGCGGCCGTGGTTACTACCAGCAATAGCCGTATGGGGCTCCACCATACCAGCAGCCATACGGGGCGTATCAACAGCAACCGGCTCCTCCACAGCCACGTGCACCTGCATTTTCTGGGATTCCAGGTTCGGTATTGTGTAATCTCACTTCTGGTAATAATTGTACTGTTTATTTTCCTACTTCTGCTCCTCATAACATTAGTGCCAGTTTTCTATCTGCGGATCAGTCCTATCAGTCTCCACCTCCCCCCAGTTGTGCTTTTCTCCAGGTCACTCATCTCTTACGTGTCAGCGTTTTACAGCCAATAACTCTCCTGCTCTTGCTGCTTTGCCTACTGGTGAGACACATGACTCGGTCTGGTACCCTGACTTTGGGGCTTCCGCGCATATGACTCCTCATGAAGGTATTCTTTCTTCTAAAACTCCTTACACTGGCCCGAATCAAGTATGTGTCGCCAATGATACTAAATTGCCTATTTCTCATATTGGTCATTTAAAGCTTGTCAAACATGGTCGCCCGCTAAATCTTAACTCTATTTATCATGTCCCTCACATTGCATATATAATTTATTGTCTATTCAAAAATTGTGTGCGGACAATGCCTGTCAAACGATTCTTGATAAAAATTCTTTTTCTAATAAGGACAATCAAACAAGGGAGCTTCTTCTTCAGGCAACTAATAAAGACCATGTTTACCCTTTCCATGCCCTCCAAGCCCATGTTGTCCCTAGTCCAATCTGGCACAAGTGTCTGAGGCATTGTGGCGATAGAGTTCTTGGTCGTCTTAGGCAGCAAAAATTAATTACTAGTTCTTCTTCTTTTTTACATAATTGTGTTTCTTGTAAGTTGGGAAAATCCCACATACTCTCCCTTTTACTGATGCTATCCATGTCTCTACGGCACCTCTACAAATTATTCATTCTGATGTTTGGCAATCGCCAATTTTATTCAATCTTGGTTTTAAATATTATGTGTCTTTTATTGATGATTTCTCTCGCTATACTTGGATATATCCTATGTGTAGAAAATCTGAGGTGTTCACTCATTTTTGTAATTTTAAAAAACTTGTTGAAAATCTTTTGAATTTGAAAATTAAAAATTTTCAGAGTGATGGTGGTGGAGAGTTTGATAACTCTGTGTTTAGACAACATTTTTTAAACTCTGGAATTTTATTTAGAAAGTCATGTCCTGACACTCCTGCTCAGAATGGTGTAGCTGAAAGAAAACATAAACATCTACTAGAATTAACTAGAACTATGTTAATTAACTCCTCTGTTCCTGGTCAATTCTGGGTAGATGCGTTACACACTGCTGTTTTTATTGTTAACCGTCTTCCTACACCTATTCTGAATGGACTTACCCCTTATGAAAAACTTTTTAATAACATTTCAGATAATGATTTTTAAGAGTCTTTGAGTGTTCTTGTTTTCCCAACTTCATTGCTGCTTCTCATATTAAGCTATCACCTCGCTCCATACACTGTGTGTTTTCGGCTATGCCTCGGGATACAAGGGTTATAGATGTTTTTCTCCATCTACTGGTCATGTTTATGTTAGTCGAGATGTTATTTTGCATGAAAACGATTTTCCTTATCCCATGTTAGCTAATAAACCCACTGTTTCCACTCCAACCTTACCATTTTCTTGGACATCATCTACCTCTACTACCATCACCCCCGACCAGCCACACCAGCCTCCCAGCGGTATACCCGACCACCCTCCCAGCTGTATATAGGCATGGACAAAAACCGGGCTGCCCGACCCGTGAACCGGACTTGCCCGGTACTGTTTTGGCCTGGCCCGGCCCGGCCCGGTGACCGGGCTCTGGACCGGTCCGGGTGGACCGCACCGGCTAGGATACCAGGCCGGGCCCGGGCCGCAACGGCTACATTTTTTTTTTTTAAATTTAAAACACCTCCTAGCTGTTGGGATTATTCCCAAACGGATCTATAGCTGTTGGAGGCTGGGGGGGTGGTGGTGGTGGTGGTGGGGGTACAAAAAATCCTATATATACTCCTATTTTCTATACATTTTTCTCCAACTCTTCCTACAATCCTACTCTCTATTCTCTAATACTCTTAATCATCTCCACTTCATCTTCTCCAATTCTCTCTACATATATTATTTATACAATTATTATATCTACTTATATATTAATTATCTACTTATAAATACATATATTATATTACTAATATTTTTTATCTATTTAAAATATACTTATTATCTACTTAATATCTACTTTTTATATTCTTGTTATTTACTTATATAGTTATATTTACATATTACATTTAGTGAATATGTACTTATATATATTAAACTATTAAATATAAGTGTATTACTCATTTTATAGTAATATACTTATTGTTAATATACTAGAAACATTTTATGAGTTATACAATTATTATATCTACTTATATACTTATTATAAGTATTAAATTCATCCTATTACTTATATCCACACATTCATACATATTTTGTATTAGTTACATTTCTTATTAATATTATTAGTTAAGTAGTTAATTGTTACATTTGTCATTTTCGTATTAGTAAACTAGTTAATTGTTACATTTTTTGCATTAAATTAGAGCTAGTTAATTGTTACATTTTGATTAAATTACAAAACTAGTTAATTGTTACATTTGTCATTAAATTAGAGCTAGTTAATTGTTACTTTTTTCATTAAATTACAAAACTAGTTAATTGTTACATTTGTCATTAAATTGGAGCTACTTAATCGTTACATTTTTCATTAAATTACAAAACTAGGTAATTGTTACATTTTTCATTTTTTTATCGTCAAAACCAAATATCATTAATTTAACAAATCGTTAGCCAAATGGCTAGAAATACAACTCGGTGCCTGTAAATAATCAACCGACTGATCTGAGATGTGAACATGTGACTTTGCCAAAGCATGAGCCACACGATTTGCAGACCTTCTACAAAAAGAGATTTTCAATGAACTATTTGTTTCTAACAAACTACGAATATCATCAATAATAAGATGGGCATAGGAGCATCCCTCATTCTTCTTCAAACTCTGAAACACCGTAAGAGCATCGGTCTCTAACTCAACTCTCTGCTAGCCTGCCTCAGTAGCTCCTAAAACATTTGTTTTAGTAAAATACTTCACATTTTATTAAAGTAGTTTGATTAAAATTTAATTTCATTAAACTACACTTGTTAGAGTATTAATTAAAATAG